CGCGCGCGCGCGCGCGCGCGCGCGCGCTCGCTCGCTCTCTCTCTCTTCGTCGTTGTCTTCTGTGCAGGTACACGGCACCTCACTCCGCAACAGAGCTATGGCGGATTCTTCTTGCTTCTGCGCACCTCAGCTATGGCGCCCCACTCGCGCACGTCTTCTTCCCGGCTGGCAACGGCGATGGCGCGTGGGGTAACGGGAACCAGCTCTGATACCAATGCAATCAGACTCGCTTTCACTTCCACTTCACATACATGCAAACAGATGGAGATTCACACTGGCTGGGCGCCCACTCAAAGCTTAGAGATATGGAAACAAGGACACAGTTCAGATGCAAGTTCTCTTCAACAGGCTATGGCGCATGGGCGCCTGGACATCCCAACCTTCTTCACTGTGTCCAACCCCACTGTTCACACACGCTCACTCTGGATCACCCTGAATACCACCACACACATACACTTAATCTCACTTCCTCCGACAGCGGCTATGGCTGCACTAACACTACTGGCTATGGCTACACTCTCTCTTCAGCCCACTTCAATTTCGGGCAACCTGCAGACCACCTTCGCACATGAGGCTGTAACAGCACTTCCGCATGGCTTACGCAGCGAATGAATGAATGGCTGGGCGGTGCCTCTTGATTTATACTTCTGTAACTCGTTGGTCTGCCGCTTTTCCCGGCCCTTTGTGCACACAGTCCCACACGGTACTTGCTTGATTGGACTCTGACTGACTGGGACTCGTGCCGCTGACTGCATGGGTTTGCACTGCCAACTCGACGCAGTTGCACTGCCGATGTAACGCAGTTGGCTCACCACTTGCCCACTTGCCTCTGACTAAAGGCTCACCACTTGCCCACTTGCCTCTGACTAAACGTGAGACACTTCGAAAGGCCACTTCCGGACCTTCCAGAAGTCTGTGGACTTGGCCTTTCGGATACTGTAGCAGCTACGACCTTGACCTTTCAGAATACCTACAGCTACGACCTCTACAAAGCTGTGACTCCTAACTGACAGACCTACAGATAGAACTCCTACCACTACACAGACCTACGACAACGACAAACAACTACCAAAACACAGGTCACGGGTTCAAACACTCGGATGTCAACTCGATATTGTACACGGGCAACGGGAGGTCTGGGAATCGAACTCTAGGGCCTGCATCTGTGACTGCAGAAAGGTGAAAACCGTTTCAAATTGGTTGGGAAGGCTCCCTTGAGGACACTAGTGCAGACAGTTGTCTGCTGTACCTGATGACTCGGAGGAGCAGTAAGAGTGAGGGAGTAGATGCAAAAAGGCAGACACGTAGGACAGCACTCAGTAGACTTACCACCTATCTGTCTCTTGGACCGGGAGGCGAGATGGAACTGTGGAGGCAGGGCAGGGCACAGCGTTCGCATAGGCCTCTGAGGACAGCAGCAGTAGCAGAAAGAGCTGCCATGGTCCGTTGGGCAGCCGGACACACTTCAGCAGCCGCAGCAGCAATGGCCACGCAGGGCCAGTAGACGCAAGCCACAATGCAGAGCCTCACACTAGATGCAGTCAGAGCGCTGCAATCAGTCAGATGGCGGGCTTGCAGGCCAGCCAGCCAGCCCCGCTCACTGCAGAGGATTTGGAGATCCAGCAAGCGCAAGCAGCCCATGATCAGTGACAAGTCACGCTGCAGGCAGCAGCCAACAGGAGACAGAAAGCTATTCAGAGAAAAGCCAGACTAGCAAGTAGTGAAGCCGACAAGGCCGGGTTCTAGGGATTAGATGAGGATGGACTCACCGATGGGGAGAAGGCCCTTCGGTCATGCATGTGAGGCATGTACAAGTCCCTACTTGTTCACCTGAGCAAGATAGACTCCCTCTTTTCCGGCCAGGACCAGATACTGGCGATGCTCAAGAACTTTGGAAGACCGGTTCCCTCTTCGACGGCACCGCCGGTAACGAGGCCCATGCGGCAGCCTGCAGGTGTCCCACAACCGACTTTGGGTCCACGAATGGTGCTGACCCCGGTCTCAGGTCCCTTCAGTCCTATGTTTGGCATAAATTCATCATGCGGTCAGTTAGCAGGTAGTAGTTCACACGCTCAGGCACAGCCCCACACGCTCAGGTGCATGTGTTGTGTAATTTCCCAGGCAGCGCTGCTGGAGCCGATGCTCGTGGACTGCTGCTAGCGCTGAGAGGCGAGGTGCAAGCACGTGCGGTCGTGCAAGGAGGAGGGCGATGCTGAGGGCAGCGCCATAGCCCAGCCTCCATAGCTGGCGGGCTTGGATGTACAGTGAGGCGCAGGGGTGGTCTTCGGGTGTACAAAAGGAAGACGTGGGAGAGAGACAAGGGAGAGAGAGAAGGATGATGATGATGATGATGTGAGGGCACATACCTGGTATTGGCGATTGTCTGCATGGGCGACATCTTCAAGTACTTTTGAGGCTGCTGACGTCAACAGTTGCATTGTCAATTATTAGGCTAGTAGTAGCTGTGTAGGGAATAGGCTGGGCGACGAGCGCCAAGTAGGGAGATAGGGACTGGATACATATGTTGGTGGTGGCGAGAGCAAGCTCTCATTGACATTGGTTTTCAGTGCTACGATTCTCCATTGGTGTCATATTGGTGCAATGCTGCTTTCTGAACACTGTGATACGATCTGGCTTTCAATGTGATTGTCTAATCTGAATATTGTCATCTCGCTATTGCTCATTTTCCTTGCAATTTGGTATCGGAGCTGGTTCGAACTGCGCTCATTGGTTCTTCGCAATAGCTGTTCGGTGCTTCGCATGAGGTGTGGGGCAGTGATAAGGCTTGAGTGTTGGACGTAAGGCGGCCCAAGGTCGTGTGGGCGCGCCAGGAAGCTATGAGGTGACATTAAGGGTGTACGCTGGATGATGAGAGCTCGCTGATGTGGCATTTAAGCCGAGGTGGAACTGCATTCTGTTGTTGGTTGTGCCGAGGCAAAGACCGGTCATCATAAATGCACATTAGGTTGCCGGTGAGAAATCTATGGTTGGGGGCAGCATTATGAGGTACGTTGCTTCCTTCCTTATCTACCCTCTCCATTGCTTCTTACCGTGAGGAAGTGAGTTATGTCTTGAGAGTCCTCTCAATGTGAGGTGTCGCGAGCGTTCAACCTTGAGAGACGACATTCTTCCTGGGCAGCAAGCTGGAGACGGGTGTTGCCTCTGAAGGGCCCTGGACGAAGCACTCAGGTCACGGTCACCATGCCAACCCATTGGGACTAGTACACTCATGCTTTGCCGCAAGTCCTTGGTTCTGCTGCTGCGCAATAGAGGTCATGTAGGGCATGCCAACCCTTTGAATAGACGCTTACCAGACCGTCTTTAAATATTTCTGGCGGGGACTCAGTGTTGATTCTGGTTGTGATCGTCATCCTGTCTGAGACGTTAAATAATCCCTGAGAAGTTACGGGGGATCTCCTTAAATGCCTCCTGATCAGCCAGATCAAATCGGGTGAAAGGCTCGTTGCATGCGAGGATAAATAATGTGCAGGGGCTGGCAGGTTCGGCGTTGACTTGGGGCACAGGGGTGGGCCGGATTGCACACCTTCAGACACGCTG